TGGAGCTGGGTTTGGTGAACCCAGTTGCTGGGTTTGACAGAACCCAGCTTGGGTTCCACCGAACCCAGCTTGGGTTCCACCGAACCCAGTAGATCTAGGTTCGATGTAACCCAGCAAATGGGTTCCATCGAATCAGAGTTAGGTTCGGTGGAACCTAGGTTGGGTTTCATCGAACCCAGCAACTGGGTTTGGTGGAACCCAGGTTGGGTTCCCTTGAACCCAGGTTGGGTTCCCTTGAACCCAGATCAGTTGGATTTGAGCGAACACAGCAACGCAGGAAGAAGAGAAAGAAAGAAAAAGAAAAAAAGGAAGGAAGAAGATGGATCAAATTTTTTATTAAAAATATAAATGCTAATCAAATTTGGTTTATGAGTTGGTGTTGACATATCATCAAAAAAATTTTTAGATCAACACTTTTTTAAGTTATTTTCGCCATGTCATAAAAAAATATAAAAAATGCCACATGACGGAGTTAACAGTCTAAATTGACAGAATGACTAACGATGTGCATTTTTTAGAGTTGAGGGACCAAAAAAATGCAAAAAATTATTGAGGGACCAAAAATGTGCAACTCACTAAAGTTAAGGGACCAAATTTAATATTTAACCAATAATTAAGCATAAAATACAACTTTGGAGCGTGACTCCTCCCCTCCCACACACAACTTTTTTTTTTTTTTCTTTCGAAAAATAAAAAATTTATTTATTTAGAGTATAAGAGATACTCTAACCCATGTACCCACACACAACCTCTTTGCTTCTTCAGATTAAAAAAAAACCTACGGCCACTATCGAGACGGTAAGTTATTATTATTCACAAATTGTTAATTTCTACACTTTTTTCTTTTAGGAGCAGGCGGCTGTGTGTTCATAAACCTAGTTCATAAATTTGAGGGGGTAGTCCACAGGTTCATTTAATTAATAGAGAAGTTTACAATTTTTGCCCTATATTTAAAAGTTTGAAATTAATTTTTATTAAAAAATAATGAATGAATGTTTCATTTGTAAATGTATAATAATAATCCCTAGAAAATAATAATAATAATAATAATAATAATAATTGTTTCTAGCCTAACTAGTTATGTGGTCTAGTGATAGATTTATTTGTAACTTTTAGAGAAAAAAAAAGGAATGGTGTTAATTTTGTTTGGATAAACAAAAGTAGAGGAGAGGGAAGGATAATATTTTTATTTAATCTTTTAAAATAAAAATTAGAA